CACGTTCAATGTTCTCCCAAGCATAATTTTTTCTCGGTTAGTTGTTCTATGTGTAACTTTAATTTCTGTAATAGAAATGTACTTTCTCAGACATTCCATGAACCCTTCTTTCTACGACGATGCAAATTTCCTACTCCTCCCTCATTTCCTCCCATTACAAAAAATCAATAAAAATAACCTCTCAGTGCCAAAGTACAAAGCAGAACCAAAACAAACAGGGTTGGTTATGGTCAGTGACTGGGTCACCAGGGACCCGCATTGCCAACCAACTCTGGGATGCATTTAAGTTTACTAATAATTTATAAGAGGTTACATAAGTTACATACTACTTTAGAGAGGGTGGTGAAACGTCAATCATCAAAGCAACGTTTAAAACGCGTCTTAAAATTAAGGATGACTTTATTAAGTGAAACTTAAAAACTGTTTGCCAGCTCTTGCGGCCTGTCTCACCACTGGGCCTCCACCCCTGCGTTGCCGCCGCTCCGCCACCGCCGCGCCGCGCCGCGCGCCAATCGCCCCGTGCGGCTTCGCCGGGGCGCAGCGCGGTGTGGGCGGCGTGGGCGGTGTGGGCGACGCGGCGGTTGGACCAGCCGCTCCCCACCAACCTCCCACTCCCACGAGGCGAGATGGTGGCACATCCACTTCCTACGACTCCAACTATTTTCTCAGAGCGCGTTGGACACTTCGATGGTGCAATGGTTAGCGTATCAGGCTGTAACACCCAAGTTCGCGGGCTCAAACCCGATCGAAGCCGTGGATATTTAACAGTGAAAAACAGTGAAAAACCGCTAAACAGTGAAAACACCTAGCCAAATACTAGATCCAGGGCCTATGACCTACACTGAGGTTCAGGTTTTAAGTTCAAATTCTAGGTTCGGGTATAGGGACTACATACTGGACTAAGGTCGATCTTTGGTACGGTTCTAGACGGTAGCAATATTTTCGACACCAGCTAAATAAGAAGCTAACTCAAAGTTCATGACTACCGGCTTTTGGGAAAGGTCAGCTGCACTGTTAAGTATCGAATCGAATCGAATTGATAATGAATGGTGCTTTCCTCGAATCTTTGCCATTTTGTTTCTAGTCATATTGACCAGATGTGCATTTGATATTTGCCATTAATTATGTTACAACACAGAGGATCTAACTAGAATTTAGTTTTGTATCACGATACAACCGGATAAAGAGCTGCCAGCGACTCTTCTTTTTCAATCACGCACAAACGCTGTAGACACTATTTGTATAGTGATCAGAATTTACGAGCTTGCAACCCCACGTCACAAGTCATCCTCTAAAAACAGACTACGATGCGACCCGAAAAATGTAGATAAAAAAAGGCAATAATATAAGACATCAGAAATGCGTGTCTCTTAAAAAAAATCTTTCAACGAATTAATATTTTGATAATGTTATGGATGAGCGGCGGCGATGGTGTAACGGTTAGCGTACTGGTCTGTTGTACCTAAGATGGCGGGTTCAAACCCGATCGAAGCCGTGGATTTTTAAGGGCGAAAAAATCCTTCGTACGCCTTCCTTCGGAGGGGAAGTAAAGCCGACTGTCCCATGTTCGTAGATTTACTTGCATGTAAAATATCCTCAAGCCTAAATGACGCCTCTGAGCTAAATTCAAATCGCCTATTTCTCGCCCAAGAAATACCTCCTTTCTCTCCTAGTTGGTGAAAGGAGCGTAGCGAAATTTGCGTGGTCAGACGGAAGAGCGGGCCTGATGGCCCGAGTCTCGCCACGTAAAATAAGGCAAATTCAATTCAATTCTTTCCATTATCTTTAAGCAAGAAGATAACTCATATTGTTTAATGTAACTGACGAATAAAAATAAGATCCGATTATTTTTGTTCTCCCTAGCACTTTTGAATGGCATATACTTTCAGCTACAGATCATTAACAAATAATTCACAGGTCATATTATTATTAAAATTTACATTATCGGTTTTCCCTCTGTTTGGATTTTCCTTTTTGTTCCTTTTACTACCAAAACTATACTATATTCGATATTTAACTTCACACAATATATTTCTATTAATCACTAATTAGAAAAGTACTCAGGGTTTGAAAGACTAGTCATATTTTTAACAATTTTATTTTTCTTATTTTTTCATGATCTTTAGATATTAATACGAAATAAAAGCTTTTTGTAGTAGATGAAGAGCGATCCAACTTCACGTAAATGCTAAATTTATCTTCTAGAAAAGGCATCTCAGACAATCCTTTGAGCGCGATTTCAAGCTCCGAGCAAAACCACACACCTCTCGCCAGTCAATCGCAAGCCCCTCTAGCGACACGGAAGAGCGTGACACACGCTCAGAGCCAGGCAGATCTAGCGGTCGCGTGCTCAGACGCGGACGTGTAACACGCCATCGCCAGATTCCCTGAATTCCTCTCTCTTTCTGAGATACTTCGACGCCATAACCAATTCCCAAAACAGCAAGAACATTTTGGGAAATTATTATAGGGCCTTCAAAGTTCGTTCACGACACTACTTAAAATTCTTACAAAAAAAACATTTTATTAAAAAAGTTATGGAACGCTAAAAGAAGCTTTCATTCGAAAGAAGCATAAATGGAGTTCGTTCTGTGAAATTTGACTACTGATAATTTATTTTATCAGGATGATGCAATCCAAAGCGTAAAGAAAGTAGCAGGCATCTTATTTTCCTCATGATGTGGTGTGATACGTTTGCATTATATGGGACGGTGTGGTTTCGAACGGTTTGGTTGATGGAGTGTTGGGGATTCCAGGCGCGATAACTGTTTAGATCATTAGTGCTCTAAGGGTAGTGCATGCTTTTCATCTTAGCGTTGATTTTGACCCACTGGATGGCGAGATCCGGCTAGCGGGTTTTTCCCTAACCAGGTATCTCCCACCTCCCCGGGGCACCGCCTCTGCCGGGACAAGCTCTACCCCAAGGATTTTCAATTACTTCAATCTATTCAATTTTTATGATCACTTTAAACACGAAGTACATTATTTTTACTAGCCTTAATTATTTTAAACATTTACATATACAAACGCTCTCGCTGTTTTGTTCATTGGTCAGCATGCACGCGTTCCATGACACGGCCCTGGGTTCGATCCCCGATTGGGAAAGATTATAGTGTACGTTTTTCTTGCAATATTCCAGTATATGTTGCTGTGCGATGAGGAAACTCACATCTCATGTTGAGAAGACCAGAATACGGCGTAGGGATGTCTTCATGCTAGCCACACGAACCCCTTAAACCTTATAGTTTATAACGATTTTTGCTATTTCCATTTACTTAAAAATTGAACTTAAATATTAGTAGAGAGAAATAATATGTATTTAATACATTTCACCCATTTTCTTCTTTTGTTATATTAAATTTTGAAATATCGTTACAATATTTGTATTCAACGATATCGAAAACATAATTTTATGTTTCTACGCATATCGCTACATTTAATCAGTCTGTCATTTTGAATACGGACATTCCAAAATTCCAATTCAGCGACATTAAGAACCAATAATATACCAATTTCTACGCATATGCACTCACATGTTAAGTATGACCATGTTTTAAGACGTGTAGTACCGAAAATTTGCGAGATTGTAAGTCACCACGTGGTTCTCTTCGGGTTGCTTTGTGCCTTTTTCAATATCCACGTAATCAATTCCAGAATCTACCAAATAAGTGTTATGCATGTTAGTGTGTGTGTGCAATTAATGGGTAAGGATAGAACAAGGAAGAGGAACGAAAGATCGCGCGCAGTCCGTGGACCGTTTTCTAGGGTATTGCTCCAGTATTCGCCTGGTATTGATGGGAGAAACTACAGAAAACTACCGATCAGCCGGACGCTATTATTCTCTAGATAGCGACTGAATTTCCCCCAGCTGTAAGCTAGTCGGAAATCCTGACACCGTCGGGACTGGAACCTAGGACCACGCAGACAGAGGCACTACAGTGACATCCGTTGGTGCCCTGAGCCACCTCTCTCGGTCCAAGGTCGTTTAAATGAACACCCGCCACGCAAAAGCACGATCGAGGGACAGAGCCGTGGCAGCGCTCACTCCAAGGGCAAATGACCTGATGAGGTGGAGCCACCCGACTAGTGATGGGAACTTTTAACAAAACATCGATACTTCGATACATCGTCAAAAGATTTCCGATATCGGTGAAAACATGGACAAAAACATTAATGTTTTAAATATGATGAAACAAATACTACTCTCTCATCCTGTTTCCATTTTTAAAATTAATTTAATTAAATGAACTATATTTTATTCTTTGTTCACGTACATGAAATATGATGGTAATAACGATTATCAAATGTAAAAGAAATAAAAAGTAGAGGACATTCTGTTTTGCAATATTCCCATTTATTCATTTTCATTCATAAACCATCCAAGTAAAATGTGATGGTTCTATTGTGTTACATAACACATCAATGTTAGTTTGAAGTATAATATGCCTTAAGTTTGACGGTCATCTTAATTTTCTAATCAATGTCCCATGTGGTAGAGGTTCAAAAATACAGTTTAACGATATTACCACGTACAAAATAATCAAAAAAGGTAACAACACTAAAGAAAGGTTGCGAATAGCAAACGGTTTCGTGCCTCCTGTGCATCGGCGACAGTGACAGTTGGCAGCTGCTCTTGATTTCGAGGAATCCGCAAAAAATTAGGTACTGAAAATTTTATTTATAACTCGAGAATTTGCTTTTGAAATTATCCATGTTTCTTAAAAAATTATGAATGTGAAGAAAACATCAAAAGCAAAACTTCGATGTTAATATATTTATATTTTTGCTCGAAAATATCGATGTTTATTGCCCTCCCTACACACGACCCCGGCCTAGCATAGCCGCGTCCACCACCCATGTGCTGCACTCTCAGTCAACTGCTGAGCACGTGCTCACGCTACAGGAGGCACCGCTCTGTTTTCAGTTTGTGTACAAATAAAAATTAATTGAATGGCAAAATTGTACGATCGTTTCGCTACAAACAAAAACCACAATGAAATGCGATTTTTACGATTTTTATTCATATTCAAAACAATTTCACACAAGGCTGCAAGAAGAAAAGGAATTTCATTTTAAAGGATAACCACGTATTGGAATCGAACAGAAGGCAAAAATGAACCTGAAACGTTCAATATCTAAAAAAGGACAAAAGCCCTACAAAATGAATTACGTTGTCGCTCCACTTGTAGAGGCATTTTGTTCAGTCCTTCTCATGGGAAATCAAATGCAAACACATCCGGAAAGAAAGCGCCCCATGGATTTTCCATTTGTTCTCCAGCCAACGTTTCTTTCACCACGTCCAACACCGACGTCGCAGCAGTTGCCAGGCCCTTGTCTAGCACGCACCCCACGTACTCTCCCACTAAGGACCCGAGCACCCCCAGCATCATGGGCAGCGCATGCTGGGACATCATCTTGATTCGGGAAAGACGCTCTCTCGGCAGGGGCCTTCCTGCACGAGAACCAAGCACAGGCGGCCATTACACAGGTGAACGTTTGGGCCAACAGAGATACTGAAGTGAAATAAATAACCATATAATACGAAATGTATCTAGTAATGCATTACTAGAATTTACGAATAATGCAATACAAATGAATAATAACGTAAAATACTATTAAGTTATTATTTACTATTAGTTAATTACCTCAGTATTATTTGAAACTCAATTTAAATATTAAAAAACCCGTATCATATTTCTGAAAGCCAAAATTATAAAGCCCACTCAAATGGTGAAGCCCCACGCACCGAAGATATTGATGTCTTCGTTGTAGAGCGAGGTCCACGCGTGGGTGGCGCTTCTCCGCAACGGGCCCCCGCGGACTGCAACGACATCCAAGGCACGCCAATTAGCTACAGCCAATCAAGTCACCCTGACTACGGTGTGGAATACTAACGTGAATCAAGGAATAATCAACCACAAAAACAAATAAGTTTTATTACAACATCCTAACGTTCACAATAATTTTTGATGAGTGGAAGAGGCAAAATTTTACAAATGTATGTCTTACTGATACTAAATTGCATCATATTTTCGTTAGGTTCATTTGAAAATCAAGACAAGTCCTTCGTACTGACCGAAGCTTGAAGAGATATCCATTGGTTTCTAGTGCAGAAGCATATTGATATGGCTCACACCCGAGAAAATAGATATATGATAAATTTTTTTTAAACATACCATTAATGATTTTATTAAAACGTTAATATATTTGTTACGTCTTAAATTTTTGAAAATTTCGATGAATGTGCGAAGTTTTCTTCATCCTTCCAGCCTCCCCCTCTGACACACACATTTACTTCCTAATATCACCACACGCATATATGAAATGTGCTTTCAAGCCCATATATGCTGCATTTTATTGATGTGCATGGTTTACATCAATTATGGGTTTCTTGTACAGGGAAGTGTCGAAATATCCAGCACATCAGTGCTCCTGATAAATACATCGAAGGGAATCGTATACAAAGGTCAAGTTACATGGGGAGAAATTATGCCACCAAATCCGTGCAGCATTATGATTTTTGGAATGATTTCTGCAAGGTTTTTGCTTCTTTAAATAATTTAATAAAAATAAGTTAATAAATTTCCAGAAGCAGTGCTATCAGATACAGGTTCCAGTTGAATCTACATTGAGGATGGGAAATATTGTAGTAAAACAATGAAGTAGTAAATAATAATGAGGACATTAATGCATTACGTGAAACTACATTTAAAGAAATTCACTGACAATATAAATTAGTTGTAAGTGCATATTTTACGTTTTTGTGCGTACTTCTCAGATTTCAAGCGCGTAAATATATGCGTGTTTTTAGGTATCCATAAATCCGCTCTCCACGTTCAAACCTGGATACAACCAGGAATCAAGTGCTGCTCTCGAATACGTACAAACTGTAGTGCGGCGCCTGAGGGAGGGATGGACATCTTCGATTTCTCCGGCGTCGCCGAGGAAAAGCTCCCCCACGGCCGCGCCCGTCTCGTAGCCTATGAGGGAGCAAATGACCGCGCACATGGGAAGGCGGTGGGGCAAGACCAGCCCCATCCTCACGCGCTGCAAGAATTTCCAAATCCACAAATGGCGTACGTGGAAGGATTATTTCTTCTCGTCCGTGTTATTCATACTGCGAGCCAAATTGTAATGCACTGACCACAGCCAGCAATGAGTATAATGAAATACAGTTGGTCGCCGATCGTCGTTTTGAAAATCCATTTCTTCTTGCAATGAAGTTCTTAACTCATTTAATCGTTTTGGACATTTATTTCCATACGTACTGTCGTAACCCAAATTTGTTTTCAGTGAATATTGGTGATGAATTTGAGTGCATATTGATAACGTCCTTTCTTCTACACCATCGTTGAATCAAATTAAATCAACCATCGACCACTCCATCACAATCCACACAGAAATATAATGCATCTTTGCTTGCTTTCTCATGACAAGATATCTGCAGTGATCAGAGACCATTTTAGTGAGTCTAAAATACGGTATAAACTTATGATCTAGTACAGCACTGCTCAAGCCTCCACTGATTCAAAAGTGAAGAGGTCTTGAAAACACCTTCATTCAGAACGACATCGAATGCTTGGGAGCGTCTGGCGCGCATTGTGATGAAACTTCTTTCAGTACGTACTGTCGTTACCCAAATCTGCTTCGAGTGATCATTGGTGAAGATCACGTCCCTTCTTCTACAACATCATTGAATTATTTCAAAATCATCCAATGCCAACTTCATAACAATCCACACGAAAATACAATACTTCTTAACTTGGCTTTCCTTCTCATTAGAAGATATTTGCAGTGCATTAGAGAACATTTTAGAATACAGCAAAACACTACAGCACTGTTCGAGGCACCACTTATTTAGTGAGTCCAGTACAGCACTGCTCGCCCCAACCACTGATTTATATAATTCAGTACAGCACTGCTCTTGCCACCACTGATTTATTGAATCCAGTACAGCACTGCTCGAGCCACCACTGATTTATTGAATCCCGTACAGCACAGCTCGTCCCACCACTGATTTATTGAATCCAGTACAGCACAGCTCGCCCGACCACTGATTTATATAATCCAGTACAGACAGTACTGCTCGCCCCACTACTGATTTATATAATCCAGTACAGCACTGCTCGCCCCACCACTGCTTTATATAATCCAGTACAGCACTGCTCGCGCCACCACTGATTTGTTGACTCCAGTACAGCACTGCTCCACGGGCGTCAGAGGCGCGGGCCGGCGTAGCCCCAGTGGCCCAGGCGGCGCGCGCGCCACCACTCCTGGCGCACGCGGTTGCGCAGCAGGCGCGCGCGGCGCCGCAGCCGCCCGAAGAGCGCCAGGTAGGAGAGCGTGCGCGACGTGCCCAACATGGCGTCCAGGCGCGCGCCCAGCGACACGCCCACCGCCGCGCCCACCGCCTCGCCCACGCCCGCGCCCACCAGCGCGCCCAGCGCGGCCGCGTACCGCGCGCTCGCCGGCCGCCGCTCCGCCACCTGCGGCACGTGCCTCCTGGAGGCCTACTCGCCTGCTGGCATGGAGACCTTGACAAGATACCTCCCCCAAAACGGTAACCCGATACCGCACCCAAAACGGTAACCCGATACCGCACCCAAAACGGTAACCCGTTACCGCACCCAAAACTGTAACCTGATACCTCCCCCAAAACGGTAAACCGATACCTCCCCCAAAACGGTAAACCGATACCTCCCCCAAAACGGTAACCCGATATCTCTCAAAGATAATCCGATTCCTCCCAAAGATAACCCGTTATTTCAATAAGACGGCAGGTTATTTCATTATGTAACGGGTTATTTTTAGTGCCGGGCGCAGAGGAAAATGGAAAAAAAGGGTTTTCGCGTGCCTACCGGTGCACCGATGGCTTCCGGCGCCCCCGCCGGAGCGATTGATGAGGAGGAGGAGGGCGGGTCTTCGCCCGCGTCGCCCGCGCCCGCGGCCTCCGCCCCGCGCCGGCAGCCCAGCCGCCAGCCCAGCCGCTTGCCCAGGCCGCAGCCCAAGTCGGCGCCCACCGCCGTGCCCACCACCCAGCCCAGCGCCTCCGCCAGCATCGCCCGCCGACTCACCCTTCCAACACCATTCACTCGTTGGTGTTGTCAACTGCTAAGGTCATTGCTCTCGTTAGTGAAGTGCATGTCTTTGTTGACTGTTGGCTGTGTCTTTATTGCGGAATCCTTCCCGTCGGACGGTGAGATCCGGCGCTGACCTACACCTCGTCTTCTGGGGGGGGTTTCCCTCATCCAGGTATCTCCCACCAGCGGGCACCACCCCAGCCGGGACTAGCTCTAAGCTCCCGACCCGTCTCCCGGCACGTGTGATAACGTTATGCATGCAAGGGCGTAAGTAAGGGGTGATGATAGAACAAGAGAAAGAAAAGATATTGCGTGGTTCATGGACCGTTTTTAGGGTACTACTCCTGCATTCGCCTGGTGTTGATCAGAATACCCACGGAAATCTACCTATCTCAGCAGCCGGCCGCTAAAATTCTCCTCCGCACAGCGGCTGAACTCGACCTAGTTATGTAGCTAGTGCCGAAAGTCCTGCCACTGTCGAGACTCTAACCCTAAAACCTGGTTCGGGGAACTGCAGAGACATGGATTGAAGTCCTGAACCATCTAAAGGGTTTCCACCTTTCGACAACACAGGCAACTGCAACTCTACATATGCCTCTGATTAATCTGAACACGAAACTAAACAGAAAATATCGTTAGACGCTAAGAGAATTAAGGCAATAATAAATTTTCTCCACTTGAAACCCATAGTCCTCAGAAACTCTCGAAAACTACAGAACTCCACAATTCCAATTCATGATAACAACATTTGTGAAATAAAATCACCCGACATCGCGCAAATTTTCTGAGTGAGAACGTAAACTTGCGCTATGGACAATAAATCAACAAAATGATGACCAACGTTTGCCACGTTGGTTTTAGTAACTTGATATTCTCATACTGCAAGTGTAATGAAATGGATCTTTTTCATACCTCACAATCAAATTTTTCACGCCTTTTAGATCAAAAATATGGTAAAACTAGTGCCAATTTTTTGTAATATTGGATTCTACTTCGCTATTCAAGGTAACTGAAACTTGTCATAGAAGTTTTAAACACATTTCAATATAAGTCTAATAAATGACAATTGAGTTCACGTTAAGAAAATGAATGTTAATTTCTATGACAGTAGGAAGAAACCACAAAGAGTGTCAGAGATCTGTGGAATAATGACATTTCAAATCGATTTATATACCCTATATGTGAGATAATACGCTACATTTTTCAAAAATGCTGTAAACGACATCTATTTTTAACTTATGTCGTACTTATTAATAAAACCTAATTTTTGTTTCAATTTCCTGAGGAACTGATATATCTAAATGAAGTCTTGTATGTTTACAAAACGATCATAATCTACAGACATTAAATTAAATAATCGGAGTAAAGGAAGTATAATGTTATTACGATGTGGAAACAGTTATTCTTCATTGAATGATGGTTTTCTACAGAAGGAAGTATTACCTGCGCACGTTTTCTTGAACCCTCATTTCGCTACATGTGAGAGGAGCGGAGGGTTTGTTATGCCGACGGTAGGAGTATTATATCAAACACGTAGCTCGTTTTGCGATGCAAAATAGTTTATATTATGCGTGATCCAACATGTCTGCTTATATTTTTCAGCAATGTTCAATGCAATCACTTATTCATAATTCAAATAATGTCAGTAAAGGAGTGGGGGTAGGTATTAAACGCGCAGCTTTTCTTGAAAGAAAATAAATATTTGAACGCAAAGCTGGCAGGGAGCTCTGATGACAACATTCGAAATACATCTTCGGTGGCGCGAAATAGAAATTATTTTCTGTTCAAGACGAGAACTTCTGTCTGTGATTTTCTGCCCAAAAATCTAAAGAAATTCCCGAATTAGGTGAAGATCCATCACCAAAGATATGTTGAACTCCTGAGAAAGTTAGAACGCATATTCTTGAGAAATTTGCGAAGGCATGATTGATACTCCAGAGATTAGCATTGCTTCATAAAATCTAGTGGCCGATTTCGTAACTAGTATCTCCGCATTTCTTCAATCCATCGTTCAAGAAAAGTTGCGCGAGTAATATTCCAGGGCTCAAGTAAACATGTGGAGGTAATACTGTCATGTTCATCATACATTTTAAAGACTTTTAACTCTGAAATGAAAGGTGGTTCATTCGTGGCAGTTGTTGTATAACTGTTAAAATTCTCTAAAAAGCTCATGAATCTCTCACCTCGAAATGAACGGTTTTCTGCACGCAAATGTTCGGAGATCTCCGTCGGGTAATTAGGACCCGGTCGCTGCAGGGAGGATTCCTTCCGCAGCCTCGCCGGACGGCGCAACGCCTCTGGGGGAGCCCCGATGCTCCAGCGCGGCGGCGACTGGCGTTCGGCGGCCGAGCGAGGTCCGGAGGAGGGGGCACGAGCGCAGACGGTCCCGGAATTTCCAGTATTTGCTGCCCATGGCGAGCGCAACGGGCGCGTCAGGTCGTAGCGTCGCGCGTGCAGCTGCAGGCGGCGTAACCGCAGACACGACCGTCAATTTATCAACAATGTAGTTTCTGGCCTTCCGCCAGGGGCAGTACAGTCCAAGAAAATAAAGAATTGGGGTGCGTATTCCATTCGTATCAAATTCCATTCCCACATGCTTTACCCAGCGAACTCTAGTGTAGACTAGAGACAACACACTGTTCTGAGAAAAAGCGACGGTCCACCATCATGGTGAACGTTTATTCCGTCCTCGTCATCGTCGACGTCAACGAATAGCAGGAATCAGCGTCTCGTTAAAATTTAAAACATTTATTCTCATTTCTATTCATGATAACTAAATAGAAACTTGAAAAGGAAGCAATATTTAATTATTTAAAATTGCAATATACCAACAAAACTTTAATTGAACTTATAGCAAATAATAGTTGCAGTGAAAAAGGAAACCTAAAAAAAGTATTATTAAGGTATTGGCTATCAAATAATATGTAGTACTGCATACTCCTCCAATTTACGGCAGAAAATTTACTTGCACGTGGAATTGAAACCCATTATCAATTTCTTGACGTTCTTTACAACCGAATGCTACGCAATACTTCGGCATTTGCCTTGATAGAGATCATTTTAAGCATTACTAGCATACACGACACATTTAACTCAGTAAAAAAGACTCTAGGTAGACGTTCACCGCTGTCAACCCAACGAAAAATGATTCGCGAATTTCAGCACTTCAAAGCATTGCCATTCCGTCAATTTATGAACAACATATTCCTTGGCTTCCGCCAGTAGTCACAATCGAAGAAAATAAGCAACTGTGCCACGAGTGGAGAAGTAGTTCATTAAAACTGGATGCGCAACTAACCCTTACAGTGAATGTTAAAAAAATATACGCAAATGTTAATTGCAATTTTAAACTATTAAATATTGGTTCCATGATGACCAAGTTTTCGTAAACTTAAAAGATAATATTTTTTTCATTTTTAATAAGTCGTTATATGTTTCCGAGATGACGAGAACATATATAAACGTATATTCATACTTCATCATCATGGCGGACCGTCACGATTTCACAACCTAGTGTATTTTGTCCAGTTTTTTTTAACGAAGAGCATACTCCGTATTCCTTTGCATCGTGGTTTACCAAAAGCAGAAAATCCTTAATGCTTCAAAAAGTCATGTTAATATTTTCACTCGCTGTCAACCACAACTTGCAAATCCAATTACTTTGAATAATACACCGACAGCTTAGGCAATCTCCCACACAACCAGTCAATTAACTACAACAACCAGTCAGTTTACGTTTTGATCGTTGCTGAACATGAAAATACCACATCCATAAATTAAAACTAAAAGAACGAGTAAGGCTCATACTTCTTTACTATAGACTCTGGCCGGAAATCCACACTAAGGTTAGCAAATTTAGTGTTTTCGTGCAACTCGACCTTACGCTTACCAAATTTGGTGTCCAGTTTCTTTAACTACTATCAAAATCCTCCAAATCCTCCATTTCAAATGAAGGTACTTAGAAATATTGTCAATGCTTCCTTATTTGTGCGCAATTAACAAATTTTAATGGTATCGGAACTTTCCAGTTACCGAATATTTAGAGAATTCAACGAGAATCGGACATGCGTCATTTTTAAACGCGTACGTTGCTCTATCTTAGTATAATGCTTTTGTCCAAAAATTTGGAACCATATTTAAGAAAAAAACTCAAAATATCTTTGGGACTTTATATTCATTTCTTAAAGGACTTAACATGTACTTTTCAAATAAACGAGTCCTCGACCCGACATTTATATTCAGAAGAATATAAATTTGGCAAAAAATCCTGCAACGTGCATTTCCGTTAAAATACAGAAATCGCAGCGTTACAAAACTTTTTCTGTACTACGTATACCCCACATATACGTACGTCTACAAGAAGATAAAACGCTTACAAAACTTATATAACTAAATTTGATGACGTTGATCACAACAAAAATGATTCAATTTACTTTTCCATAAAAAAATACAAAATTCCAACCATTGAATTGGGCTCAAATTAATCGACTTTGCAACCTAATTATTGTAAGGAAAGGGAACAAGTTATTTTTTTTTCTCAAATGTCCCTGGAATGTTAACCGAGTCGCCCAACTCGACGCAATGTCAGTTCCACATACGCGCCTTGCCAGAGGCGGCGGTGCGCAGCGTCGTCGTTTTTGTGAGGACTGTGGGCCTGGCTATATCAGGCCATCTGAGGACCGGTTCTTAAGGTCAGGGCCTTTTACTCACTTGCCTTTCTTCTCGATAAGGCCTTAAGGTGCGCGACATCGAGTCCAGCAGAGGAACACACACTGCGAAGAAGGGTTGCCAACAACGACCACGTAAAAAGAAGGGGACTCTCGTTACGAAAACAGTTATAAATATTTAAGCTAGACTAACATTCTTCCATATCTCCGTTTGCGATTCAAGTGAAATGATTCGTTTACAAAATGCAGAAGTAAATGGTCTGAGCATCTCTTTTTAATTTTAGTTGCTAGTCAGACACTAATATGCATGTGTGTGTCAGAGTTCAGAAAAAGGATATTCATGGTTTCTATTCTAAATTAAACAATAAATATTACAAATGATGTTAGTAATCTGATAAAAAAAAGACAACAAATGTTTAAAATGTACACAAAGGACATTTAAATTCAAAGGAGGACGAGGGGACAATTGATGTCAATGGAGGTCTGTCCTCCCAAATAGAGGACGGTTGGCAACCCTACAGCGAAGACAATACGACACTCCAATCCGAGCAGTCCGAGAGTGGAGAGAACACGAAAGGATTTCAAAGCTCAAAGATCGACATTTGTAACTTCGTTCTAAAATAATTTATATAAGAGATACTAGTTTTTGCACTTAAGCAAAACGGCAAACGTTAACGGTTATAAATAGCGTAACGTAGAATCTTGTGTGATGCTCAAAAGAGAGAGTTTTTGCACAATGAATGAATGAATGAATGAATGAATGAATGAATGTACATTTTATTGGCTTAGACATTTAATTTACATTGCCATGTATAATACACATAAAAACATTTACATAACATTTACATAAAAACATTTACTAATATAGTTAGATTTCGCGGTTTATACTTAAAATAAAATTAACAACACTTTGAAAAGTACCTACATAATTTAAAAAGGCATCCTTAAAAGGCAATCGTGTAAGCACAACACGCACGCTTATAAGATGTTTAATCTGGTTGCATCAGTATTAAGTCACACATAAGTTTTGCACCTTTCCGATATCGTTTATCGATTTTTACTTTCCCGTATGCGTACGTATATCAGGAGTAATATACACAGTATAGGGAAAGTAATGCAATGCATCGGAAAATAGATTTCGAGATTTCAACGGAAATACACGATTTGGGGTATCCTGATTACGAAAAAGTGTTGTGGTTTTTTTTAAACGTCCGTCCGCCCGTCCGCCCGTCCGCCCGGTGAATGTGACCAACACAAGAGCCTAAACCATGCAAAGGACTTCTTCCAAATTGAAGAACATCCTGTCAATTTGAAATGAGTCGATGTTCTGTGATTTTGAAAAGCATTCTTTTGTTTTGGGGGTACTTTACATGAAGCTCCTGGGACATTTTAAAAATTTTCTCAAAAATGACTCCAATTTTTTTCTTTAAATTTCTTATAAGAGTAGAGAAAATGCATTTATTAGTGTGGCCTATGTCCGATTTTCACGATTAACTCTGAATTTTCGAAAATTACAAAAGTTTGAATTCTGTTTGGGGCCCTCCAACTACAAAATTGAAGATAAGAGATTTTTCCTTCAAATAAAATTTGTTGTCCATAATTTATTTCATTAATGTCATGTACAATTTTTTGAAAAATTTGGTAGTTTTTGCGCAGTATATTACGTGCAATTTGTATAATTTTAAAAACTTACAAAACCATGAATATCTCAAAAACGGCTCCAAATTGTTTCTTTAAACTTTTGGTAGGGATTGTGCTAAAAGGACTCTATGAAATGAGATAAACATCATATTACTCTACTAGTTTGTTTTTCCAAAAATTTCAAAAGTGTATTTTTTTAATTTCAAATTATGAACTTACTGAAGTGCTTAAGCGCCATTTTCTTAAAAACGGTTCAAAATTTTTCGAAGAAAATTGTCATTTAGGAAAAGGTTTTATTGTTTTTTTAATATTCTTTAAATAATATATCGGTTTTAGTATTAGGAAACCGAAAAATTAAGACAAATTCAAAAAAAAGTACTTTAGGCGGTGATAGATGGCAGCAGGCAAAAAGAGTACGTAGCAAGTTCGAATAGATAACCGAGACGAAAGGAAATAGAAAACTAAAACGGGAAAGTCTGTGCCATTCTGTAGCATCACTAGTTCCATTTTGTATACTTTGTGGTTTCGATTTAGTTCTTCGATTATTTAGTCGTAATCATTTGTTTCCGGGAAAACAACACCGAAAAGAGATTTCCAAGTTTTGTGAGGTGTTCACTTGTTTTGACTCTATGGATGTGTTACTCTCTGGTATGGAGGAATTAATTGAAGCATGTGTACTTGGGAATATTTATACGATGTAGAAAATCTATTTATGCACGAAATTATATTACCAACTCGATCTGGAATTATAATGTCTAAAATTTGGAACGTTGAATTACTTATTTTATAATGCTTCCTCGTTGGCGAAATCACAAGAATATCAATATTCCTCCTCTCTGGCTTCCATCCTCATATACCTTGGAAGAAAACTCTTCCTTCAATGGTATAAGTCATGTTTTGCGGAAAACCGCAGTCGTCTTTTGTCCGCGTTCTTTGAGTACTAAGAAACCAAAACAAGTACAACCGGCAACCGAGTCGGTACATTATGAAGCCTCGCTTTCTGAAGACAGCGCGGATAATGCTTATTTTTGGTATAGGTCCGGTTTGCTGTAAGCGTCGACGTGCAGATTTGCAGAAAATGGACTTTCTATTGTGAATACGCATTTAATCTGTTATTCACTCGTAGTGACGTAAAGTTCCCCCACAACAACTGGAGGGTGAAATTTATCTTCCCAACTTTCCAGACAAACTTGAACACCCTTCGATCAGGGGCAGGGGCGCGTTGATCAACCGCTAAGTCGGAGATTTAGTGCTTATGCGATTGGTCTACACTACCATGGGGCGGGGGTTACGTATGTCGATTGTTTACGTATGAGGTGGAAATATATTCTTTCCCTGCCGAAGGAGAGATTTTGTCTGCGCGTACGCCAAAACGAAAAAATATCTCTGACCGGGGGTTTTCCGTCCGGAATTACTGTGAATATACCATTTAGCATTTTAGCAAGAATTATATTTTTAGCAATTAATATGTAACTCTGTCAAACTGCTATCTGAAAATGTTCATCTCAGGGACAAGTAGCCTTTTTAGGAGGGGGACTTTACATTGTTTATAAATATTTTTTTTAAAAATATAGTCCTCAAGTTACATTAAAATATGCTACATTTAACTAAAATGATAGTTTGCTCACCCAGGGTGTAGAGTGTTCTTTTCTACAGGCCTTTCAGGACACTTACCTGAAACAAATACAAAATAACATATGAGCTTGAATTAAAAATATATACATATTCTGGCAACAAAATAACATTGTTTACACAAACAACTGCTTAAAAAGTCAAACAAGTTTAAATATTCAAATGGTAATCACTGAACTGCAATAGTGGCACAATCCAAAATATACGAATTTTGAGTTCTTGCACTCTCGAGAATAGCAGATTAGTCAACCTTCCAGCAACAACAGAACAGCGACCCAGAGAACGAACGCTACGAACTTTCTTGAGAATTTTGGCTGTCGCCAAACTCTCCCCCTAGCCGGGGCCTTGTCGTGTATGTCTGCGGCCTGCGACCATCCCATGGACGCTTCACTATAGCCTTGCCACCGGCAGGAAACCTGCATTTATAAATTGTTGTGTGTATAATAATTGTTTGTCTGCTATCCAACATAGACGTATTTGTCCTAATACACAGTTGATGTATATAAACCAATTTAATGTAGGATAAACATACAACTGCTTTCATGAAATTGTAGAAACCAGGTCAGAATTTAAACTTTAAAAAATTCTTGAAATTATTTGATAACCTCAAGTTTCTTATTTCACAACTCTGCTGATAAGTTGGTTGAAGTCATGGCAGTTCATACAATTCATTGATGAATGAATGGCATTCGACAAGAAACTGTTGAAATATTTATGGAGTCCATTGTTTCGAAATAATTGAGAGACAATGTAAACTCTGACATTTAAGATGGCATTGCCTTCATCTAAGGTAAATTTGTGTAATCCATTTACGCTGTTACGAGTGAAAACTAATTTTATCTCAATAGACACATAAACTTAAGTGTACTTATACACAGGAGAGAGAAAAGAGGGGTGAGACTTCACCGAAAACGTTTCGGAATTCACAAATATGAACTGAAACAGAATATAAGTTGTGTTTTAATTCTCAATATTCTGTTAACAAATAAATTAAACAATTTAGAATTCATATGTAGAAAGTAGTACATTATTTCACAGTTGATTGATTCGAAAATGTTTTCCAAGAATTGTACGGGAAACAATTATTATGTAAAACTCGTTTCTGTAAGTAAATAAAATATTGGAAGTAGCAAAGTTAAAACATTGGGGGGATGTTAATCAATATAGCTGCACTTTCGTATATTGTGAATATCAAAATCTTATACTTGTTTTTTTTTTTAAAAATTTGAGAATTACCAAAGAATCACGTTACTATGATTTGGTAGTAAGAAACAATGTACGTTACGAGTTTGAAAGTAACCTTTTGTAATTTCACTTTCAAAGAATATTGAATAAATTTTGTACAAATTTAATTCAAACGCGAAAGTGTCACTTCCTTTACTACGAATTGCTGGATGATTATATCTTTAATTAGTTCATGTTTGCTGTTCGCAAAAGTAGTAGAGAAAATAAACGAGCAACTTCATAACATAGAGGAAAATTGTGATTCAAGGAAAAAGATTTCAGTATTGATCCGGAGGTATTCTCTTGCAAAACATTTCGCATTGTAGGAAAAATGAGCTGTCATATGGCATGTATAATTTCTTTGCTAAATTGTTAGAAGGCAAGAATCAAAACACGGGAAAATAGAGAATCACGTGCAGCTCCGTGGAGCCTCGCTCCTCGCCATTCAAAACCAAGAGACGTTTTGACATTCTGCGAGCAGTCATTATCAGAGATGCAGTCTGGATGAAACTAAAGAGGGACATATGTAGTAGTTCTTTTCATGGTTAGGAAGTTATATATTTTGCAGTTTCATTGCTTTTGTAGAACTAAGAAATGAAGACTTACACAAGCTAAATTTTTTTTATTGGTATTCGCCATGCATTCACGATTTTATGTTTTTATTCTAATCCATCGAACCTTAAACATTTAATATTTATTTTTCTGTATAATTGTCGAAAGTTTTATTAATATTAATTAATACTTATTTATCAATATTTACGTTTTATCTCGATGTCAGAGAAAACTTTTCATTCAGTTTACCATTGAACCTGGGAGCAACGTTTCTGGGAGCATATATTTTTCCACTGGTTTTGGAAGTAAAATTTTACTCATCACCTAGCGTATATAATTCTTTTTTCATTTTATTTTTCTTTCGGAAATACATAATTCAGTATACACTTTATCATATGCATAAGTTTGCTTAAAAATATTATTACATTATAATCTTTACAATAACTATGGCTTCGACAAGGGGTAGGTAGCTACCATTAGCACTGACTGTAAATATTTATTAGCGAATATGTTTAGGAAGGCATCAAATTTGTATCTGCTTTTAATTCATTTTGATTTTAGGTACTAGAATATAGAAGAGAAGTTACAGTGGATTGTGGTAAAGAGTTGATGTTTATGTAAAATTTATTGGAGAGGTAGACTATGTGTTCAGTGATGGATGTTATATTCAATTGTTGTGTAATCGTTTGTTCGATATAAATCATGGACCGTGAGTCGCTAATCAGAGAAATCTATTTTGTGTGAGTATTATTTACAGTTTATTTATGGTTGTAGCTCATTCATTAGTCCAAACGGGACATGCGGATAACATTAAAGGTCAGATTCTCGATTTGTATAGTGTGATGGCATTATCTATCGACAGGCAGCTGTTGAAGTTTATTAGAGGCTCTCTGATATTGTGCTATTTCACATTTTTGCTGGTGGTATTTTGATTGTAATATCTGGATTTCAGTGCAGTTTTGTGGCGAAATTCAGCCTACGGTATTGAACTGTTAAACAGTGAGGATATCTTGGTATTGTTTTGTTGCTGTTTATAAAAGGAGAAGTGGTGTGCCTTGAGAATATTTTGGCAGTAGATTTTGATGGGTTTAATTTAATTTTTCAAATTGTTGACTAATTGCCTACGCTGTCTATATGTTGTATTTTTCACTAACGAGTTTGCAGTCTTTTGCGACAGAACATCTTTTGCTAGAGAACATGGTTTCCGTATTTTAATATTATTTTCTATTAATAAAAGTTTTCAACGGAGAGGACTAAAAAAAATTGTGTCTAGTTATACCCATGAATAGAGTTAATTTCCGCGCTAGTTAAATTTCAGACCCACTCCCGCCTCATTTCCGCTCGCAGTCGCCTCGCACGATGGCTCACACGCTGCTTTCACTTGCTGCTCGGTGTCACTCCTGACACTTCGGAACCCACGTGGGGCAACATGGCTGCGCTCGTCCTGCTCCAGAGGCGCGAATCGGTCACTTCCAACATTAAAGTTTTCAAAAGTCACTAACCAACACGGTAGCTGCCGTAAAATAACTTCAGTATTTATCAGTCACGTTCGTATGGCAGAATATTGAATGGGGCGACATATTCTTGCATATTGTATAAGACAAAATTGCTTACTTTTTCAAACATTTCTAACTAATACAGGATGACTCAAAAGTACTGTATGCTCTCCCACCTCTCTCTCTCTCTCTCTGTCCCTATCTGAGTTTCTCTCTGTCTCTCTGTCCCTATCTGAGTTTCTCTCTGTCTCTCTGTCCCTATCTGAGTTTGTCTCTCTGTCCCTATCTGAGTTTCTCTCTCTCTCTCTCTCTCTCTCTCTCTGTCCCTATCTGAGTTTCTCTCTCTCTCTGTCCCTATCTGAGTTTCTCTCTCTCTATGTCCCTATCTGAGTTTCTCTCTCTCTCTCTATGTCCCTATCTGAGTTTCTCTCTCTCTCTCTGTCCCTATCTGAGTTTCTCTCTCTCTCTGTCCTTATCTGAGTTTCTCTCTCTCTGTCCCTATCTGAGTTTCTCCCTCTTTCCCTCCCTCTCTCTCCCCCTGCCTGTTTGTCTGTTCCCATCGCCCTATCCCCTGCAAGGCATTGTGAGCACGGACGCGGCGCGCCATTGTGCCCGAAAACGCACGTCATGCGTCAGTTGTTCATTTGTTCCCCTCGCGGAGACAAAGCTCTGCCTTTCAGGCGGCCCCACGCCGCGCTTCGGAGTCCGAGCGACTGACCTTTGCGACGCCCGAGTAAGGCAGAGGAGGTTGTTGCCATATGAAGCTCACATTCTTCTGTTACCTTGGGCATTTCTCCATTTTAATCGATCTAACTGTCCACCCTATCCGTTTCTTGCGTTTTAATGGAGATAATTAAATGACTTACGTTCTTCCTCTTCCATTTGTTCTTTGGATATCTTGAATAATAATATAGTTGTGCTTTCCTCAACTTGCTCACGTTGGATGACAATTTGGATTTTACTTATTCTCATTGTGCACATTGTGTTAAGAGAAATTTGCTTTGTGATGGATGCATCTCGAAGATATATTAAAGAACATGATATAGCGTCTCGTGTAGTAACGGCCATCGTAGAAAAATAAATTGGAAAAACTTTGGACAGAAATACGAGTAACTCAGAACAGTTGCTGAATGAGAAATGAAAAAGGTATAAGAATGACAGCTAAAGCAAGAAAATTGAAGAAATCTTAGTTTTAGTTGTGCCTACAGTATGTCACTACGATGATCACGATGTAACACAAATCGCTTAGTGTTCAAATATTATTTACGAGCGAAAAAAGGTATTCTAACAAGAAACCATGACTCCTACAACCCCATTGCACTATTCAGTAATAGTCTTCAAATATTAAATCAAAGTAATTACAGGAATATGACATTTGTTTGTTTGATACAACCCATCTCTTCGGAACGCAATTCAAATTTCAACGCCAATTCAAATACTGGAACATGAAATGCAATTATTTTACTTCAAACTTTTAAAAAGTTTTACGATAACCCAAGCAGCAGTTCAATTAAACCACCTTTAACTTGCATTCTCTTGAACTTGACCTGCATTGCAGCACATTATATTTGATTCCAGCACGCACTCAGAATTACGGAACACTTGCGGTATGCTTTAATATTAATGTTCCCATCCGTTTATTATTTACGATGGAACAGATACATTCTCCTTCCAATTCAAATGAATGCAGCCGTTTTTAGCCACGTATGCAAGACATCTTTTCCCGAGCACTCAGCACCATCACGACAGAGGAAGTCCGTCATATTTTATGCAAACTGCAGGTAGGGGCGCCTCCACCCTGAGAGATAGGAAATCGATTCTCAATGGAGACGTAGGTGGCTGCCCCGCCAGGCAAGAGCCAATGCGTTCAGGATACAGTTTGCAGAACCACCCTGGCCATTTTCTTTTGAAATAAGGAGCTAATGATGCATTATTTGAGTAATGGGGATTTTTGGGAGTAAGGAATTTCATCGGAGTACTCTCTCTACGATATTATTTCGTAAGAAAAGAGAAAAATATAATGAAGGCAACGAAGTGCAACTAACACTTACCAATACCCCATAGTATGTAACAGACAGCAACGTCACAAACAGACGTCATAGAGAACTCGACATAGAACCAATTACAAATTATAAATTACATTTCCTTACTGTCGTCCAAATTATTTTCTAACCTAAAAACTACCCCTTGCAAAGCCACTTCAACCTCGGTAAAACCAGAGATGCACATTTAAATGCCGTCTCCGAAAAGACCTGTTACGTCTCCCATAACTAAGAGAAATAATTATCTCACTCTACATCTTTCTTTCCTCTTCCCATCAGTTTCATAAAATGAACAAAAATCGTCATAGAGGAACCCATGTCCTCGCTCAGAAATAAAGCCTTGATGACGCGCTGATTTGCAGTTATTTGTACCTTCAGACCACTGTAGTGCAAGCACTCATTATAATACGTGTATAAAATCCAACACATCTGTTAAGTGGTTAAGCCACTGATATGATGTAATAACTTATTTTAATTAAAAAAATTAAAATAAGAACTTTGTATCTTTCAGATTCCTTTATAACTTCAAATTCCTCGATAATACTGGTAATATGTCTTGCTTAGCATAACTATCCACGAACTCACGTCTCTACACAGTCCAAGACGCTTTTGCACATTCTGCTAGTTGATTTCTCACACGGAATTCACAATTTCCATCGCTCCAATGCCTTCTGTAAATGTCTGTTTTTAGTGGGCTTTAGTCACATCTTACGATGTATTTACATTGATTCCCGACAATGTATAACTCCATTTCCACTTTCATTTAGCACCCTTCTCTTCAACATTTTTCTTTTCCGTTTTCATTTCCTATCTGCTATTTCTCTGAACTACATCCCAATTATTCGACAAATTTACTCATTCATAGAATGACTGACCACTTAGTAAGACCACGAATGTTTTGCTCCTGTTGACATCTATCACTTCGTCGCATCGCGCATCGTCCACCCTCTCGTGACACTTCATTCCTTATCCTCGCCCCCTTTTGGGTCAAACTCATCTTTCGTTTCTAATTTTTGAAAACAATGTGATCAGATCCTTTTCAAAAGAATTTTCCAATCTTGGAAATAAAACCAACAGAATTTAACCACACATAAAATGCCCCAATCAGTTCGGTGTATCCAAAAATTTTATCTCTTTTCTATCCGCTTTTTCTTATTGCTTTTCGCTGCTGGCAAATCACAAACTGACTCGTGATATTTTGGGAGGCGGTATACATGGATTGTTATGTCGATATCCAATAAAAAATGTATGAACCTCGGCGATTGTAACATAGCTTCCAGTTATTTTCAACATTTGGCGCATTTTAGAACTCTGTAAGACATTATTTCACTCATGGAATTATGTACCCTATCAAATACCACTCGTGCTTTGTAAATTCTCAGATAAATTCCCTCCTCGCTTCGCGAGTCGCGGATTTATCGACCACTTCCGAACCACTCGTGGTATTCCCCCATGACGAATATCTGCCTCCGTCGTTTCAGTGCCCAGGGACCAATATCCTCCTTTCTTCCAACTCGCTTTTTCCATCGTTATTTCTCTCCCTCGGCTTCCCCTTTTTACATCCCTCCTTCAGAATCACCCATCTCCTTCCTTCCCCTACGCTCCTCGCCCTAATAACGACGTCTCTCGCCCTCCGAGAATCGGCGACTGCCGCAGGCGCCCGACTTGTCATCGAATTCAGTTTCGCTTCCAAATCTCCCGAGGCTGCGCCTGCGTCGATTCAATATTTTCCTCCGACCTGCCCCTCGGCCGTGCGGCGCTTTCCGCGAGTGCACGTGCATCAAGGGCTGAAATTTAATGTTTACCTTTCAATCTCAGGATTTTCAACGTACGTTTTAATTACAAAGTATGTGAAATTTTTGGCATTAATTCATAACTGACCTAAAAACGTCAAAGTGATTTCTATTACCTAAAAATATATGGACGTAATAATATTAAACATAACGTTATTTATCATATAAACATAACAGTACATTAATATGTATATTACAATTTTCCAAGATAATTTTCAATAAAGCATATTTAACGGCGCTATCATTTGAAAACACTTCGCTTTTTCTTTTGGGTGGTATTGCTTAATTGTACTTTCACCTTGAATCCAATTTTTCCCCTTAAGAGTATCACTTTGATTAATCTTGCTATGCGGCAGTTTTTATTCAACTCCGCACGTTTAGATTATCCTCCGTATTTCCCCTCTGTAACACTCCCCTCTTTGTGTAGTCGCTTGGTCGCGGGTCGTTGTTAATTGACGTCATAATTTCCACTTTACTGCGTTCTCAGAATGAGATTTCCCGTAATTGTTGACTCGAAATCAAGAATTGCAGAGTAAAATTATTTCTCTGAATTTTCGAGGGAATAAGTTCGTGTATTCAAAATTCACAAGATAAATTAATTAATCAGAATATAATCGAGTTTAACGTTGAAATATTAACGATAGTTCCAGGACAGCTGTGAATAGTTTTATAAATAATTATTTATTTCTATGGTACTAAAGTAAATATTTTGAACAAGGCTCTGACTTCAATAGAAGTAGACTTGACACAGAGACCTTACGTACAAAGACGTTTAGTGAGAAATATTAAGTACTTGAAAACTCATTTTGTAAATGCTTAATCCTGTCACAATAAACAAAAAGTTAAAAGATATGCTTATATATCAAGTTACGCAAGTCATCAAATATGTTTCACTTTACGGGGCCAAAGTGAAGGAAGAAGAAGGAAATATCGCGCGCGGCTCATGGTCCGTTTGTTTGGATACTGCTCCGGCATTCGCCTGATCTTTTTAGACCACCCGGCCGATAGAATACTCCTCAGGACTGTGTCGAAAGTCCTGCAATCGTCGCGTCACATCGGAACTCAAAATTAGGACCTCCCGGTCAGATATAGTGGAGTGAAAACAGTTGCTGCCCTGACCACCTCAGTCAGTACCTCATGTTGATGTTCTGGCACGTCCTTCTGGCCAGTGATACATATTCCTTTAATATTACCTAAAAAAATTAACTCAAATCACGATGTTTTCTCCCGCATCTTCGTAGATGTGCCATCGAGTAACGACAAACGGGAAACTCTTTACAGAAAGCTGACAGCTTTCGCAAAAGCACTCATATCATGACGAATATTGGCTCTATACGCGACAAAGACTCCGCGATCGCACCGGGAAAGATGGCTCAACGCATCAACTGAAGTCAGTGCAGTGCATCCGGAAGGTCCTAGGTTCGAGTCACGATAGTGGCAAGATTTTCGACACAAGCTTGCTAGCTGGGTCGAATTCAGTCGCAGTCTGGAGGATAATTCTGGAGGTCGGCTTCTCTGTTGCAGTACCGCAACAACCGGGCCACGGACGCGCAAGATCATTCTTTCCTCTTCTCTGTCTTATCCTCACTTCTTACACCCACTGACACTAATATGCACTACACTAGCACACATGCCGGGAGACCGGTCGGGAGCTTAGAGCTTGTCCCGGCTGGGGCGGTGCCCCCCTGGTGGGAGATACCTGGTTGGGGGCTAGCCGACGTATCTCGCCATCCAGCGGGGAAAGTCCACCGCCGCCTCACGGAGAAACATTAACTTAAACTTATGGGACCTCAGTACTCGATGCGGTGGGAATCACTAATAACCAATCAACCAGCCAGCCATCGTCGTGATAGCGCAAGTCTCCTAAGCCGAGAGAAGCATTGGAGACTCCCAGGGCTCGGCGTCTGCCCTCCGCCCTACGTTCTCCGCCCTACTGCAGGGCCGGGCCGCGCCCTTCCGCCGTAATTCCGCGCGATTTTTAACCGTCACGCTCGATAATGGAAGGCTGTAACTCAGGCTCTGGCGGCTGCCGTTCCCTCCGACGCGGCGCGCCCGGGAGGCGGAGGTAGAGGTAGAGGTGGAGGTGGAGGTGGAGTCAGACTGGTTGAAGTGGAGTTGGCGGTGGTGGAGGAGATGGCACTGCCGTCCTACCCTCGACTAGCAGAGCTTCCCTCAACCAGGTATCTACCACCAGCGTGGCACCGCCGCAGCTGGGATAAGCTCAAAGCTCCTGACTGGTCTCCTGACACGTGTGGTAGTGTAGTGGATGTTAGTGTAAGTGCGCGGAGGAGGCAGAGATGGAGGAGGAAGAGACGGAGGCGGAGGTGAAGGTGGACGAGTCGGAGGAGGTGGAGATGGAAGTGGAGGTGAGTTGGCGAAAGCGGAGTTGGCGGATGAGATGGAAAAGGGAGGGTGGTGTTGGCGAAGGCGGGGAAGTGGGAAAGGCGGAGGAGGACGGAGGCGGAGACAGGTAAAGGGGACGGAGATACAGGTCTAGGTGGTGGAGGTAGAGGAGGCGAAGGTGAAGGTGCCGACGAAGATGAAGTGGGGATGAGGGCGAGGTTGACAGAGGCAGAGGAGGCGGAGGTGGAGGTGGCGGTATCTCTGCCAGAGATGACGTGTGTCGGCGGTGGTGGTGCCGGTGGTGGTGCCGGTGGTGGTGCTGGTGGTGTCGGCGTCGGAGGGGGGGTTGGCGTGCGTGGGCGGGGCGATGGCGCTGCCCTAATCGCCGCCCGCCGCCTCCGCTGACGGCGCCCGGATGCGCCTCCGTCGCCCGCAACGGGACGCGGTGTGCGCAGGGGCAGCTCGTCGAGTGGAGAGGGCCCCGGGGAGCGAAAGTCATCGATTCGCTCGCAACCGGAGAACATTTCCAATTCACACATCCAAAGATTTCCGTTTCATATTGACAAACGTTTCATCCACCCAACGATAAATTGCAATGGACTCCGTGGTAAATGGCCGTAAGTTACTTTTGACTAAGTCACGAAAACGGGTGCAGGAACTTGTGAATATAGTCGTAGTACCTGAAGAATCTACAGATTTGGATTCAAAACGAGTTAAGAAAATTCAAGAATAAACTGCCCGAAAACAATTGGTTGAAAATAATTCATTAATAAGCAAAGACATAAACGTATTGCAAATACAAAGCTTCAAATTTCCCTAATATTACGTTACGTGCAATAAAATCTAGTAGGGTAAAATGCTCAACTTTCTGATTGTATGTTGGAACGAAAATCACGACGTGTTGTTGTTCCATCAATTACTAATTGTGCTTACGTATTTCTCATGTCATCAAGAGAAAATACCAAGAAGAATTAAATAAAAGTTTTTTTGTAAGTACAAGTAGATCATCCCAGTGTTTTACCACCACCTTCACTAGACTATACCTTCCGCGATAAAAACATGCAGTACATATACGGAACAAATGATCATTGCAGTTCACGAGCTCAGACACGACAAAATAAAAAAGCATTGAATCAGATTTCTCGAGGCCGACCACTGTGATCGTAAGTGCCCTTTTCCAACCTATCAAATTGAGGTGGATGCCGTTTCGCTACCCTTTCGAATCCTTAGCACCTTTTCGACGCTCCTTACGATCGAGCGGGGCGCTGTCCCCAGAGCCACAAAGACCAGCCAAAACCCTCCAGGAAACGTCTTAGAAGGGCCGATGACTCGCTAGTACTCGCACAACCCAGAGAATCACAGCTTTTATGTTCGCGCGGGGTAATCCTTTCAATTGCGATTCAGTTTCGAGATCCATTTCAAATTCAAGGGATCCCGAAAACATCCATATCAATTGCGGAATATCCGGTTTATGGGAAAATTGTGTACATGGTATAGGCGTTAATGTTGCTCAGAGACAGACAGACGGATTCACCTGCACTCAAGCCCCTTTTCTGCATCAAGGACACCAAAAATGTTGATTTTTTACTATCCAGCGATTACTTTAAAGATCTATACTTCGCAAAGAATCAAGAAAAATTCACTTTTTTTGGAATCAATTCATGCCTTGCTTTCCGTGGCGAGGCTGAGGACATGAGGTCTGCTTTTCCATTTGACCACGCATATTTTGCTACGCTCCTTTCACCATTTAGCAGAAAGAAGGTATCACTCGGGTGACGAAACTGGAGATCTTAATTTTGCTCAGAGGATTGTTTTAGGCTTGAGGAACTTTTACATGTTGTTAATCTACAACACGGGTCAGATATATTTAGCATGAAAACATCGACAGAAAACACCGATGCCAACGCGTTCCCTGTCCCTACGAAAACATTAATATATATTCGTACGTCCAAAACGACTTTATAATAATACTTTCATTGTAATATTCTCAACAGAAATATTTTTCTGCACGTACCGGTGTGTTTCTAAATTCTATGAAGGTCCAAGCAAGTACAATTCACAAAGTGTGCAGTTTCGATGAGTTCTGTAAAAATATTTGCCATAAAAGTTGTAAACGTCTCTGGCCCACATGTGGTTCACGGACACACGGATCAACCAAAACCAAATAGATGTGCAATATCTTTGCTGTGGTCGCGATCCAGAAGCCAGATGAGAAGTCCTTACACTCGCAGGCAGCGTCGTCATTCACTATCACATTCGCTAACACTTCTCCTTGCTCGCACTATTGCCGGAATGACTTGAACTGCCTCACTGCCCGCTGGGCGCTGGTTTATACACAGTCCGTGCTAAAGGCTCACCGACTGACCCGGTCGCGCTAACTGAAGCGGACGTTTGCACCGACCCCAACATGAGCGACCTCTCGTGAGCGGTACTCGAATTTTCCGGGAGCGCCGCTGTGTCGTTGCTGCGTCCCGGTGGCTGTTCTTTAAAAGGGACGCGGGCGACTACAACACGAACACTGGAAAAGGATCTAGAGAAATTAATGAAAAATATACGAAGCGGAAAATTGAAAATAAATTATTTTTTAAGGACAAATAAATTATTACATTTTCAGTTTGTGCCGTTAATGTATATTGCTGTATCTCTTTAATAATGAAGTCCATTGTTCTTGGGAAGAAGGAAGATATTCTATTTAAGTTTATCATCGGATATAGTGCACCAAAAATGTTAGTCCCCAGAAGTTCACTACAACCGGAGTCGACTGTGCATTACGAACACACAATTGAACGTTTATAATATTAATTTATATTTTCTTCATGTTTTATCAAATCAAAATATCCATACAAAAACATTTTTAAAAAATGTTGAATATTAATTTTGAGAGGAAAGAAGTTTGCGAAAAGAAAATTGAAACTTTTAGAACAGGAATACTGGCCTTATATAATTAAGCTATAATGTTTGTTTCGTCTAATAACCCTTACCGTAACACACTGGATCATAGAATAATTCTGATCTCCCTATCAGATTCCGCCATCAGATAAGATGTCGTGGGCTACTTTCAACAGCCGCAAGCGTGGGTATTCTGTTTCCAGAGTGCACCTCTTACGCAGCCGATTACTTTTCCGCTCTCCCTCGACAAAATCCGCATCCGACGCCGCCTCTCGCACCGCCCCTCTCCTTCGCCGCCGCCGTGGGAACAGAAGAGCTTGATCGAACAAACAGCGAAAGCGAGCTCATAGTTAAAGCGTGGGCTTCGTGGCTGGATTTCCATGATGAGAGCAAAGCTGTTCCGAGGCGAACCGTCTAATTGAAATGTCATATGGAAGTCATCTCGAGAAAGCATCGCGAGAAAGTTTACTAGGAAAGTAAACATGACCATCGTCTATTAACAATGTAATGAGTGTGAAAGTCTTTGATATAAATGTCAGCTTTTCTGACTTTCATGATCTAGAAACACTTTTTAAAATAGTTCTTCCTAGTTCTTGTGTCATAAGAGATTGGAGGAGGTCGTAATCAGAATACTAAAGAGAAAATACTAGGAACACTAGGAAAAATACAGGGAACACAATTTGTGGCTCAATCTTCTATAATGAATCTGCAAAACCCTTATCGTACGCACTTCCATTTCATGTCATAACTGCCACTAAATATTCCATAAATACACAAATTCGAGAATTCATTAATTACACATACCATAATCATAGATGTAGGCATATGAGGAAGAGAAAACTACATTTTGGGACCCCTTTTCCATTAAACTTTTTAATTTTCTTTTGACGTATTTTCCCCAGTAAATAAAAACACTCAAGGAGAATAAGTACATACCACAATGACCATAATATCATTGATTTTATGTTGAACTCTTTACCGGAATGCCATATGGCTTGGAGATCACCAATGTAAAACAATTTCCCAAATATTTAGGTTTTAAAAGAGGAAAAAGAAGGATTGAACATATTTACAGAAATAAAATGTTTTATTAAGTCCACTTCCAAAATTTTTAGGGGGGCTCGATCCACTGCCAACCCCATCTAAGTACACTCATGATTAGGGGGCAAATTTTAATGAAATGCCATTTTCCCCCTTTTCACTTTAGAAGAATGCCTTTCAGTACAGCAATTATTCTTATTTTATAAGAAAAGAAAATAACCCATTTTCAATTTACTTTTGCATTTCTCGTCGATTTCTGCTAGTAAATATTTTTTTACCTTTTCCCGTCATTTTTATTGCATTTTTTGCTGATTTCATCGATTTCAATATTGTAATGGTACCTGCATCAAATAATATTTAAGAGATGGAACAAATTTTCACCTCAGAATTCCTGAGTAGCCTATTCGATTTCTTCACTCAGAAATTGTAATTACATCCGCTGTGGCATCAGTAACATACCCAATAGCTTGAGTTGTTAATCTGAACTGGTTTTGATGAGATTTTTACTTTATTATTTCTTTATTTTTATGTCGTTTTAAAAACCTATTACGAGCATTTTATTGAGCGATGTTTTAGGTCATCAAAGTCCCGGTGCCCCCTGGGGCGCGTCTGGAGCCCTATGGCTGCAGCGGGGAGCGGGGTGTTCCGTTCTCAACTCGCCGCGTTCGCCTCGCGCAGTCGCGGCTAATTGATCGCCCGCGCCGCTCGCGCGTGGGCGTCCGCGGAGGAAGACGCAGCGCCGGGCGACAGGTGGGCGAAGCGCTGACGTCAGCCGCTGCGGCCGCGCGCGGCGAGTGGGAGCGGCTCTTCCCGATCGTCGATTCGCAGCTTCACAGCACCGCGAGCGGCGGCGCAGCGTGGGCGGCGGCGGGGCCACAGCGAGACAATTTTGGGCTTTGCTGGAAAGCAGCCCCCCCCCCCGGCACGGGAAAAAATTAAAATGGGATAGTTGTATCAAGAAACTATGGGTTATTTTATTTCAATTCGGGATATTCGATCCTAAACTTCAATGAAAGTTTATGGCCAATATCTGTATATATACATATACATATCTGTATATACATATATACTCATGTCAGCAAGTCACTACAATGAGCCAGATGACATTACACATTGACAGTGCTAATTTCTATTGGTCTGAATCGTAGGCGCGACAAGAAATATGAAAGGAAATGGTTCAAATTTTAACAAAAATATTATAAATTATTATTTATTGTGAATTCCCCCCCCACACACACACACACAGTACGCTACGCCAGTGACGAGCATTTCGCATTTTGGAAGGCGTTGCGGTTAAGCTTCTTATCGGAGTCCAAATTCGGAACCCTTCCTCAGGACAACCTGGGAAAGTGCATTTTTGATTTTCATGATTATTAAGGCAGAAATATCTTAATCACCAACACTTCCAACACCCCCACTAACAACACAACGTTCTTTCTAAAAAAATGACCATTACGGCAATGCACTCATGCGCGAATCAGTGATGGGAATTCTTTCATCAGTTTCATTCAAGTAGGATCAGGTCTCACTACGGAGATTGCAGAATAATATTAACAAAACTCACACCTCTCACCTAATTCACACAATTAACAGACCAAAACAAGGCGATTTCTGAACTAAACAATTTTGGTTATGTAACACATTCTCACAACAAATCGACAAGAAATTAGTCAGGATTGGTGCTGAGTATGGAAAGATCTTTTTCCATATCTATTCATCACGCCAATAACTTTGTTCTCTTCAGTTCTCTTCACGTCAACAATCTCTTCAAATGAATGTAGCTGCCCCACGGATAATTAGAATGTGTGAATAAAAGGGGAAGCTCTGTTCTGTACTTTAGACAAGCTACAAAGAATGAACGATTAATTAGCTGAACCATGTAAGGTGTACAGGAGGTAAGCTCAAGAAAAAGTGCACAGGAGGAGACTATTGAATGAAAGTCATTTATTGCAAAGCACAATAGTATATAATTTTATTAGTAGTCTAGTTTAATCTCCATGATTATTTGCTCTTTCACAAAGTACCAAGGGGAATTTCCTTTAATCGTATCCGGCTGTGCAATTAAATACCGGGTTTCTTACTATTATTTTCAGATAATTTGTTTGAAATAAAGTGTTAAAATGAGCGTTGGACCGACAGCAACGAAGTGCTCATTCAAGCGGCACGAGAGTCGGAGTTAGGAGCGAGATACAGTAATTGGAGCAGCCGCTTTCAGCCGTTCTTCTACATCCTTAGGATTAGGAATAAAATTTTCAAAAACGCGTTTTCTCCTCAAGGCCAATGGAGAGTTTTTTCCTCTTAAAAGAAATAGCTAACGTTAATGGTTATAAATAACGTAACATCGAACCTTGTGTGGAGTTCAAACAAAGAGTTTTGCACAACGCTCACTGTTACACTTATGAAGTGTGGTCATCTGGTAGAAACAGTATTAAGTTACTCATATGTTAGGCGGCTTTCCGATTTCGTTTACCGTTTTTCCATTTTGTACCTGGTGGTTTCGATCGAGTGCTTCGATTATTTATATCGTAATCATCCGTTTCCGGGCAAACAAGACCGAGAAACAATTGCAAAGTATGACCAGATGTTCACTCGTTTTCACTCCCTGTCCTGTGGAGGAATTAAATGAAGCATGTGTTCGTATGTATAATTATATGAAGATGTAGAAAATCTATTTATGCACTAAATTTTATTACCAACTCTATCTGGAATTATAATATATGAAATTTGGAACGTTGAATTACTCATTTTTAAATACTTCCTCGTTGGCGAATTCACAAGAATTTCAATATTCCTCCTCACTGGCTTCCATCCTCATACCTTGGAAGCCAGCTCTTCCTTCAATGGCATAAGTGATGTTTTGCAGAAAACCGCAGTCAGCTTTTGTCCGCGTTCTTAGAGTTCTAAGAACTCAAAACAAGAACCGGCAATTGATTCGGTACATTTCATGAAGCCTCGCGTTCCCTCTGAGCCCGTGCTACATAGAGCGCGACTGGCGTTCCGGGTATCACATGACGATAGGCGGGTCTACTTATATTTAACCGTCGGTGTGCAAAAGCTCTGAGGACTGGCGTGCGCAAGGGCCAAGGGCCAAGGGCCAAGGGCCAAGGGCCAAGGGCCATGGCGCGGGGGCCAAGTGCGTGGGCACAGGCTTGCCAGCGGAACAAACGCCACAGGCAGCGACTGTCGGCGCAGGCGAAGGTGATTCATTGTTAGTGATTCCGCGCCCGTCAACTAAGCAGGTCATTAGTCCCGTACGTGTAGTATGTGTTTCCGCTGGATGGCGAGATCCGGCCACGACCTACCGTCGGCTAACCGGGTTTTCCCCAACCATGAGTCTCCTTCCAGTGGAGCTCCCGACCGCTCTCCCTTCCTCTGTGGTAGTGTATTGTATGTTAGTGTAAGTGTGTGTGTGTGTGTGTGTGTGTGTGTGTGTAAGGGATGAGGGACAAGGAAAAAAGGAAGGAAAGATCGCGCACGGTCCGTGACCCGTTTGTTAGGGTACTGCTCCGGCATTCACCTGGTATTGATGGTAGAAACCACGGAAAACTACCGGGCCTCCCGGTCAGTGGGACTGCAGGGATATCAGTTGATGCTCTGAGCCGTCTTTCTCGGTCAACGCCAGTGGAAATGGCGGAGTGTAGCGTTGAAGGTGGCGGTGGCGCAGAGTGGGGCGGGCACGGGGTCGGTCTCAGGGACGAGGGCGGGGGCAGGGCCGGTGGCGGGGACGGGGATGGGGGCGGGGGACGGAGACGAGGACGAGGGGTGGGGGCGGTGCAGGGACGGGGGCGGGGACAGGAGCGGGGACAGGAGCGGGGACGGAGCGGGGACGACGGAGGCGGGACGAGGCGGGATCAGGGGCGGGGAGCAAGGGCCGGACAGGGGCGGAAGGGGGCGGGGAACAGGGGCGGGGACAGGGGCGGGGACAGGGGCGGGGGACAGGGGCGGGGACAAGGGGCGGGGACAGGGGCGGGGACAGGGGGCGGGGACAGGGGGGACAGGGGCGGGGGCGGGGGACAGGGGCGGGGACAGGGGCGGGACAGGGGCGGGGACAAGGGGGGGACCAGGGGCC